CCCCAAAACCCCAAAACCCCAAAACCCCAAAACCCCAAAACCCCAAAACCCCAAGATTTTAATAAGGGATAGAAATGGCAGCATGAATTAAGCTATGAAATAGCATATGGATTCACTGGTTTTCGCCTGAGTAATAGAGCAGCCTTCCTGTTCTTAGGCATGAAGCTTTCTCTCAAGTTTTGCTTCATATTTCTCTGCATCTCCGTCTGATCTATCTGGATTTTAATTACGTCTATAAAGTTCAGTGAGGTTAAAAGATATTAAGGGATAGCACTAATTGAGAGGATGCTTACGACGAGTTGACCTCTTTTGAGACTTCAGTATTGAAAGTGTCTTGAAAAAGACCATATCAGTCTTCTTATTAAGCATCTTAATTTTCTTCTCTTCCCTCATTGGTTGTTTTGTCTCTTTAAAAGGAAGAACTTTCACAGGAAGAGCAAATTTTATAGGGTCATTAATGGGTTTAAAGAGCACCTCTTCCTTTCCCACCTCTGTTGACTTATTCTGAGTTTTTATTTTTACTCTTCTTCTACGAGTGATCAATGAACTTGAAGGGAAATTCATGTTCTGGCCATTAAACTGACTGGCTTCAAATCACTCTATTCATGATGATAATAATTTGCATGATTTAATCTTTTCAAAAATGGAGAGGAAAACAAAAAGTAAGGAATGGAATAGAAAACAGACAATAATAAGAGTTACCTGTATGACCTTTACCGCTTAATTCAGCTTTCTTTTTAACAAAATTAAGCTGCCTAGCTGTTCCTCTGTCTTTGATTAAGCTTCCCTGGTTGATTTTCTTAAAGTGAGTCCTCCCAAAATTTATGCTCTTCTTTATCTCTGAGCATGAAAATTCTTTATCGTTTGTGACTAAAGCTATGAATTAGATAAAAGAGTGGAGACGCATCACTAGAGCTGTAAAAAGTCTTACGATTAGTTTTCTTAAGTTTTTGGGCCCTGATCTTGGCTATATAAATTTACTACCTCTGTCTGAATTCAAGAAAAGCCAGTGAATGACAAAAAGTGGTGGAGAGCACTTACACAACTTTTTATTCAGCTCTCGGTAGTACAAATTGATGTCAGCTCTTGAGCTATATAGGACCTGATGAGGTATTCTGTTGTCCGACTCGTACACCTAAATAAACCATCAAATTACTAATGCCAAGTAAGAAGTCACTTGAAATTTTATCTAAATAGGTGATTGTTATTATAAGACACCTTCAGAACCGGCAAAAAATTAGAAATATTGACAAACAACACTTATGAGCCTTAGCTTAGCATCATCCAAGCCTAAAATTTTATTATCTTTTATATGAAAATTTCGCAATTAATATCAAAAATGTTTTCTGAAATAGCCTTACACAAACAATTTAGAAAGCAATTAGTTCATAAAAGATTTGTGCTTTTCCTCTAATAAATAGCAACGAAACTAAGAGAGGGGATATTTCTGGAACTATAGAGCTTCATAAGCTCAGCTTATGATAGACTCTTTTAATAAACTTTTCATAAATAAAACTCAAAATTAGTAATATTAACTTGGTTGGAAATAATCAAGCAACTCGTTATTATTTAAGGTACAATATTTGGTACAATAATTGGTTTACAGAGACCTCTAGATATAGAATATGGGTGTCTATAACCTGGGAAAGTAATTACTGAAGAGATTTAATAAGAGAGATCAAAGAACGACATTAAGAGGAGAAGATAATGAAATCAGACCAAAAGATGATGTTAGAAAATGACTATTGCACTTCTAATCGCTAAGTCCAGTATAGATACCAAGATATCCTAAGCTAAAAAGTAGGGGCTTTACTTCTTTATTGATAGGAGATCATTCTTAGAGTTCTCTCAGTAACTTTAATGCCACTTAATTTACTCAAACAATCTTATTGAAGGTAAAAATTAGAGATCATTCAGTACCTCGTAAGCTAGACTTCTACTCTTATATATCTTCTTTCTATAAACTTTCCCTTTTGTCCTAACTAAAACAGATCCCCTACTCTCCTCTAACAAAAAAGTTCAACGTCTCTTCTCCAAATTTTCCATTCAATTTTGACTGAACGCTAGGTCATAAATAAAGTGAGCCTATTCAACCCCAAAAGTACTTATCTAAAATGGAAAATTGCGCCAGCAAAAGTCTTACATCTTCGTTCTCGCTTGGCTCATAGGAGCCTAAATCCTGAGTTAGTCCCACAAGTTGGCTATGACCAACTTGCTTGTCAAGAAGCCTCCGAGGTGTATTCCTTGAAGTATGAGGTATCTAAAATCTGTCAGAATGTTTAAACAGAAGGAACTCCTCAATGAATAGCCAGGGCTTGAAATAGTTTAGTGATAACTCTTTGGAAAGATCTGACACGAAATGTTTTATAGAGCGTTATTTACCTTATATTTATGAAACTGCATTGATAAATTTTGCATAAATTGTTAAAACTTTACATAATTCAATCATAATTTCTTAAAAAGGGGTTTTGGGGTTTTGGGGTTTTGGGGTTTTGGGGTTTTGGGGTTTTGGGG